CATCAACTATAAAGTCCTCTCTAATGTATATTGCTGCGCCTCTGCCGTCTCTATCTTTGTTAAAATATTTCCTAATTCAATGAATTTAATATTTAGGAATCAGAGGTTCAGAATTGACTGTAAACCGCGTTTTGACAAAAAAAAAAGCATTAGATGTAGATGATTACATTTTGTTAAAGTGGAAAGCTTGAAGAATAATTTACTAATCTTGTAATTATTACGTGAGCATGGGTAGTTGGCCTAAAATTTAAATTGTCTTTTGGTGTGATCTGTTGTTGCATAACTTTTTCTTCTATAATTGGATAGTTTAGAGGTTGGATACAGTTATAACAGAAGTGGGTGTAGAGGCTTTGATTGTTTGGCTGGGAGTTGTGGCAGATTCGGACTTATGAACTGCAAGTGGTATTGCAAGTGGTATTGCAAGTGGTATTGCAGCTGGTCCTTGTTGCTCTTCTGATTTTATGACATATAAAACTTCGTTTTTGCTTTTAAGTGTCGAACATGTTTAATAATTACCATATTGATCACAGTTGCACGAAAATAAGCGTTGATGGATTCCTTATCGTTTGTTGATGGTCTGAATTATTACAAATAATGGGAACAATCGATGGCTGCTCTTGTCTTTCTTTTGAGTAATTTTTAGGAGCCTGCTCAGTTTGTGGCATTGCTTAACGTTTTCTGGAACAAAAACCCGTTTTTAATTTTTAAAAATGATGTTATTATTTCAGTTTTGAAAGTTAGCCGCCATCTTGGTTAACCTAAAACATTGTTATGTTTTGCGTGAAACTTGATAATTTTAGTAAAAAAATTTGCTTAAATCAAGTCAAAATATTGATATAAATGATTGAATAATTTGCCAGTTGTTTTCGAGGTTGTAATATACTACAAAGAATTGTTTGTTAACTGATTATCGGGTTCAGTTAATTCCAAAATATTGGAATACTAAGTAGACATTCAGATAGTAAACACGCTTTTAGAAGATGTATTATATATTTTATACAGTGTGAACATCTTATGGAATAAAAACAAATAATTGTGAGTATTTTTATTAAATGTTAACAAAATTAAATGTAAACATAAATAAAAACAAATATATTAAATATACATACTTATCCTTCAATCTCTTAACTGTAATGTATATATACATATATGTATATACATATATGTATATATATATATATATATATATATATATATATATATATATATATCAAAATAAATAAATATATCAAAAGTAAATAATAAAACTAGAAAGAAACTAAGTATGCTATTACTATGGTGCTTCAAAAATGCCTGATATGATACCATACTGAACTCTCACACATGAGGGCCCAGATCTATCCATATCAGCTTCTGTACACAAAGCTGATTTAGTAATTCTTCTTTGAACACAACTGCTGATTTATGAGGACCCATAAAGTTTTCTCTACATAGAGCAGTTATCAACATTTATCAAATCTTGATATTTATTTTCTGACAGAATTCTATAAAAATATTGAATAATAAAACAAAAAAATCACCATAGTAGTACCATATATGTTATTACTCTGGTAATTTCGTTACTTTATTAGTCAATATTTTATAGAATAAATTTTAATGATATATATCATTGCCTTGTGAAATTTCTTGCTTGGTGTAGCTTAACGTACCTATGAAAATTAATGCCATCCGCACAATATCTTGTGCCCATAGGCAAAACAAGTCATGTCAAACTATATCTTTTTATCAACTTTATAGCCTACACTCAGTATAAAATATGTATTTAGTTGTAAGTTGCTCTGTCTTTTTAAGAACACTCTATTTTGTAGAATACATATTATTTTAAGAACACTCTATTTTGTAGAATACATATAATTTACTCAAATGTGTGTGAATATATATATATATATATATATATATATATATATATATATATATATATATATATATATATATATATATATATATATATATATATATATATATATATATATATATATATATATATATATATATATGTATATATATATATATATATATATATATATATATATATATATATATATATATATATATATATATATATACAGTGAATCCAAAAATTATTGGCCCACCCTTGCATAACTACTTTATTTTTGCTGGCATATAAGAACTATAGGAGAGAATTACTAAGTGTTAGTATCATTGTGTCGTCTGTTATCACTAGTATATATACAACAAGTTTCAGCTTTTCAATTACTTTTGTTCTTGTTTTATGGGGAAAACAGTATAAGTTTGTTCAAATATTATGTACAAAAATTATTGGCCCAGAGAAAAGAAAAAAATTTTGTCCATCGCGGAACAGGTATTTCATCGAATCTAGTATCGTGTTGGGTAACCTTTCATCTTGATACATTCTTGTAATCTACTTGGTACTGAATCAACAAGTTTCTGGAGAACAGACAACTCGACGTTATTCCATTCGTTCTTCAAGAGGTCTCCAAGTTTGTAGATATTTTTCGGCTTGTGTTTCTTCATCCTCCGGTCGATCTCATCCCATACATGTTCTATGGATTGAGATCAGGCGAGGATGAAGGCCACGCTAATGTTTGAATATTGTTTTGTTTAAGCCAATCCTTGACTAGACCTGATGTATGCTTGGGATCATTATCGTGGACGAAAAAAAATTCTTGTCCAAAATTAAATTTTTGAATCGATGGTAACAAATGCTGCTCTAAGATGTCACGATAATAAAATCGGTCCATTGTATGGTCCAAAATACATAATTCACCAATTCCATTTCGCGTGAAACAACCCCAAACGGTAACAGAACCACCACCATGCTTGACCGTAGCCACAGTACAATGTAGATCGAATTCTTCCTTGGGTGTTCTCCATACCATTACTTTTCCATCAGACCCGAACAAATTAAATTTCGATTCATCGGACCAAATGACAGTTTCCCAAAACCTTATCGGCTTGTTCAACATTGTTTTTGCGTATTTCAGTTGTTTAACTCGATTGATTTTGTTGACTAATGGTTTCTTTCGTGCTACACGACCATAACGTCCAGCTTCGTGAAGTCTATTTTGAATGGTATTGGCGTGTAATGATATTCCTAGTTCGGTCTCGACCTCGATCTTCACAGCATTGGCAGATTTACGTCGATCGGACTCAACTTTGCGTACTATCAATCGATCCAATGTTTCGGTTGTTTTCCTTTTTCGACCACGTCCGAATAAATTACCGATACATTTAGTCTGTTTTTATTTCTTAATTATGTATCGTACTGTCTCTCGAGGAAGTAATGTCTTAGAAGCAATTTCTCGTTGAGAATCACCGTTTTGATAGTGCTGAATTACTAAAGCTCGAAGGTCATTACTATGTTCCTTCTTTTTAGGTGCCATTTTAGTTAATTATCATTTAGTGAAGAAATCCGCAAGTATTTATACTATGATTAGTGGTTCTAGATATAGCGTTGACACAATTCTATAACATTCTGAAAAAAACACGAAAGTTCTAGAACTTTTTAGAAGTATTATTTTCTTTTCTTTTCTCTCGGCCAATAATTTTTGTACATGATATTTGAACAAACTTATACTGTTTTCTCAATAAACCAAGAACGAAAGTAATTGAAAAGCTGAAACTTGTTGTATATATACTGTGATAACAGACGACACGATGATACTAACACTTAGTAATTCTCTTCTATAGTTCTTATATGCCAGCAAAAATAAAGTAGTTATGCAAAGGTGGGCCAATAATTTTTGGACTCACTGTATATATATATATATATATATATATATATATATATATATATATATATATATATATATATATATATATATATATATATATATATACACACACACACACATATATATATATACATATATATTATTATATACATATATATTATTATATATAATATATATTATATTTGTGTGTGTGTTTATATGTGTATTATACACATATAAACACAAACACGCGCTTGTAAATATATATGTAAATATTTATTTTTAATTGTTTAAATATAGATAAAAACTCACAAACATTTGGTTTTAATTTCTCAAGAATCTTTTAATCTATCTAAAATACATTATCTTCTAGTATCGTGTTGAAGTTCAGTTACCTGAATGTTTATTTCAGTATTCCGAATGTTATTAGAATAAACTGAAAAAGGCAATCAGTTAGCAAATAATTCTTTATAAGATAGTAAAAGCTGCCAAACATAAACTGACGAATAATTAATTCATTTGATGCAATCTTTTGACTAGAATTTAATAATTTTTTTAGTAAACTCCTAAGTTTACTAAAAAAATTATTAAATTCCGCCAAATATTTTGGGTTAACCAAGATGGCGGCCGTTTTGAAGACTGGCTTCAAAAATTTCACGTGACACCGTCTCCTGTTTATTAAACCTCCTTGTCTAAATCGAATGAAAAAAAATGCATAAAATGCGTCATAAAATGAATTATGGGATACATAAAAACAATTTAATTTCTGTTTTAAAGTTATTTATTTTAATAATTATTAAATAATTATTTACATAAATTGTAATATAATGCACTCTATATTTTAAAAAATTGTAAGATATTTTTTCGAGAGAAATCGTTAAATAAAATTATAAGAGAATATAATTGTTATATACAAAAAGAAATTATATATATATATATATATATATATATATATATATATATATATATATATATATATATATATATATATATATATATATATATATATATATATATATATATATAGAAAATATATATATATATATATATATATATATATATATATATATATATATATATATATATGTATGTACATATAAAATCGCGAAATATTGCTACTATTAATATTTATATATTTACAATAAAACTTTTTAAAAAATTTAGTACAGCTCTAATTTAAAGTGAACGATTTAAAAAATGACTCCAAGTACCACTTATATATCGTATACTTGAATATATATATATATATATATATATATATATATATATATATATATATATATATATATATATATATATATATATATATATATATATATAATGGATTTATGAAAGAGATAAGCTGTACGAGTTATTCAATATGAAAATATTTACGAATAATTAGCATATTTTATCATAATATGTATGTAGGACTAGCAGGTAGACTATTGTTTATCACAGGACTATTAGTTGCAGAGCTATGAAGAGGAGAATGAAATGTTGAGACACGAGGTCTTATTAAGTTCATTTGTTCTGGCGATATGCTACCTAGTTCAATAGAATACCGTTTGTCATTTGAGTAACGTTTCTTAGGTTTGTTCGAAAATGATGGAGTTTTTGGTAAATATTCAGGAGTCAAGTGAACTCTATGCCGAAATTTTGGTGACTCTCTTAAAAGTTTATGAAAAGTTTTTTCATCTGGTTGAGTATACACATTTTCAGTATTTCGCCTTTTTAAGGAATATTGGTTACCATTTAAGATATCATTTACACCAGTTAGCCAATAGGTTTCAACCTGACCTTTACCCTAACAAAAATTCAACATAACTGAGATAAGATCAAATAGTAAAATATGATAACTATAAAATTAATATATAAAAAGATAACACAAATAAATCTTATGTAAATTTACCTTAACTTCTGTAAGACCTCTTGGTTTAATTTCGAATTCTCCACAAGACATAAGAAAATCTCTTGTTTGATTGCTGATTTGAATTCGTAAAGCTGAATTACAAATACTTATATTATTAGAAAACAAGAAATTTAAAACATCTGTTAAATTACAATTTTTTCTTCTAAAACCTTTAAAAAAAATCCAAAAAACTTTGTCACCTTCACCAGTACTTTCCATTCTTGATGCCATGTTTACTGTATTTCCAAACAAACAGTATCGAGGCATTGATGTTCCCACCACTCCAGCAACAACTGGACCTAAAATTTATATTTAAATACTGTAAAAAAAACTGTTGTTTAATTTTAAAATCATTAAAAATACAAATGCAACTTTTTTCTACCTGTATGAATTCCAATTCTGACCAGCAAGGGTTCCTGACTTGGTTGAATTTTAAAAGTTTTTACTTTCTGAAGTATAGCAATAGCAAATAATGCAATTTCTTTTACATGATGAGTACCATTCCGAATAGGTAACCCACTTACAACCATGTAAGCATCTCCAATTGTCTCAACCTAAAAATAAAATTTTAATTCAAAACTTAGCATAAAGTTTGTTTTAAATTAAAATAATTTACTCCAAGTTACTTTGTAAACATCACATGTAAACAAAACATGTTTTGTAAACATCATAGTAAACAAAATATACCTTGTAAACATCATAGGCTTTTGTGACCTGATCAAACATTGTATAAAGACTATTCAAAAGAGCAACAACCTCCATTGGAGTTATGGAAGAACATAGTTTTGTAAAACCTACAATATCACTGAAGTAAATAGTAACATTTTCAAAGGACTCTGCCTCAACTTCTTTCCCTTTCATCAACTGAAGAGCAACACTTCTGGGTAACATTCTTTCTAAAAGAGCTTCAACTTTCTGTTTTTCCTCACGCAAGCACTCAGTTCGTTCTTCTACAAGCTCTTCTAACCCATCTGAATATTTTCCCATCATGTAGATCATGTTATCAAAAATATTTGTTTTTCTTAAAATAAAAAATGTGGACTATTAATTAATTTGAAAAATCTGTTGTTTTTTTTATTTTTTATATTTGTTATATTTTAATATATATATCTGTTTGTTTATTTTTGTATTTTATATCTTTTATATTCTAATATATGCATTTAGCAATACATGATAATAATACATGATAATAATACATGATAATAATACATGATAATAATACATGATAATAATACATGATAATAATAACAAACTAAAAAGTAATAAGCGTTTTTTTCAAAAAAAAATTAATAATTTTTAAATCCAAAACTAATGTTTAATAACAAATGTTTAATAACAAATGTTTAATAACAAATATTTAATAACAAATGTTTAATAACAAATGTTTAATAACAAATGTTTAATAACAAATGTTTAATAACAAATGAACATTGACTATGATCTCTTGGCAATGCTTAGGCAAAAAATAAATGTCATTGAAGTGTTGTCAAATTTTTTATAATCTGAATAAATAATATTCTGTTGATGTCCAACTAACACTTGCCTCAGACACTAAACCCTGACCTATTCAATTGGATACCTTTGGCTGAGTGGCTTAACTGAAATTCATTTAATGTCGCCCAGTGAGTGACTTAACTGAAATTCATTTAATGTTGCCCATTATTTGGGATATAGAGGAGTTGCAATGAGAAATTTAATGCACCTAAGGAGTTGCAATGCAGAAATTTAATTCACCTGATTAGCCATTTCATGCCTAATCATACTCTTTAACTTTTTAGGAATTCTTAGAAAAATCGCTTATTACTTTTTAGCTGACTAAATATATTTTTATTATATTTAATATAAACAAAAATTGTCAACTAAACAAAATTAAAAAAACTAAAATTGTTTCTAAAGCTAAAAGTTATCGTCAATGTATTTTTATTATATATAATATAATGAAACAGAACATACAATCCATTACTCTTCATCATTAACTCAATCTCTCTTCGAAGTTCTGAGAAACTGGGTCTTTCTTCTGGCACTTCGCTCCAACATCTTTTCATAACATCACGAAGCCCCTCTGCACCCTCCAAAAGGTTTTGAACAAGTGGTCGAAAAGGAGGTTTTGTTCTCCTCATCACAGTTTCAATAATAACTAAAAAGATGTTTAAAATAACATAACCACAAATCATTTATGCTTACAATGACATATCAAACATTTTAATTCTTTTAGTCAAAAAAAATCTGTATACACTATAATAAAAAAAAATACCCCGAGGATCTCCTGAAAAGTCTCCCCAAGCTCCCTCTCTTGTGTGACATTCTTGTAAAATGATACCAAAGCTATACACATCTCCTTTTTGTGTTCCACGAGATGTTGATGAAACATTAGCACAAAGAAGTTCAGGCGCTTTCCAAAGCAAATCTAAAAAGTATAAAAATTATTACAATATATTTAATTTCAACAAAAATTTCAGTTAAAAAACAAATCAATAAAAAAACTACTCAACAAAACCTAAACTTACTACTGGCTGGCTCAGAAGATAAAGTGTGTCCTTGGATTTCACGAAATGCATTTAGACCAAAATCAGTTATTTTTAGCACCCATCGACTGTCAATAACACAATTTGAAGATTTTAGGTTACCATGGGACTTGATATCAGTAGAATGCAGATAGGACATGCCCTATGTATTATATAAAAAAACTAACATTTCATACAAAACCATAATTTTCTACATATATGTAAAATAAAAAAATATTCCTCTTTCAAGGCAAAACTATTTCCTTCATTTATTAACCCAAAACTTAAGGAATTATTTTATGCTCAAAATTTTAATGCCCAAATTTATCTAAAATATTATAATATTACAAAAAAAAAATTTTTTTCACTTTTTCTGTGTACAAAGAGATATGAAACAAAATTGTCTAAGAATTTCAAAAAAAAAATTTCTAAGCTAATTTCAAAACTGCAAATCTGTGGATATGCAAATATTGTGTAATTGTACTGTTAATGTAGCAAATCTGTTAATGTAAATGAAATCGCACATGCATCTCAACTTGTACATACATCTACAATCGCAAATAAAATCATACATACATCAACAATTGTAAATGAAATTATGCATACATCTACAATTGGGTTTTTTATTAGGAAGATATGTGTTATCACTTTTTAATATTCATTTATTAAATAAAACTCAAAACTGTCTGGCGCACTTTGGCCTGTACTTTTGTATTTGTCAAGTTTAGAAAAATGAAATGAATTTGTAAAGATTGGTATAGTTTCAGTGTTTAGAAGTTTTGTTGACGCACTTATGTCAACTTGCACTAAATCAGTCTTCAGTGGTCAAAATGTCACAGGTTTTTTTTTCGTCTCAAAAGATCACTGTTAGTATTTCATAGATTACATTCATAGATTACATTCATAAACAAATCTTTGAAGCGTCTGATAAATTTAAGGCAATGATAAAAATATTAAATTTATGTTGTTGTTGTTGTCGGTTTCTAATGAGTCAAGTAGTGGTTTGGACTTATCTTAAAAAACTATAAGTAGTTTTTTTTTTTCTTTCTAATATTTTTTATGATAACAAGCCTTGGTAAACAAGTAAATTAACAATTTTTTAGAATAATTCAAATATTAAAAGTTGTTTAACAACACTGGGGACACATTGATAAACATTGAAGATAAAGCATTTGTAATTAATGTAGTACTTATTGAAAAATTATTTCTTATTGAAATGTTGTAAAAACTAAATGCCACAATACTTTGATATATATATATATATATATATATATATATATATATATATATATTATATATATATATATATATATATATATATAAAAATATGTATATATATATATATATACATATATATATATATATATATATATATATATATATATATATATATATATATATATATATATATATATATATATATATATATATATATATATATGTATATATATATATATATACATATATATATATATAAACCCTTGGAATTAGGGTCAGCATTCGGCAATGCCGACCTAACTGCTGACCTAAAAGTGCTTGAGGTAGGAAAAAAATTGCCTACCTCGTTTCTATGTTTTATGGTCAGACCTTTGTATCAAATAGTTTTTGCCAACCTAATGCCGGCCTCAAAAAGGTTGAGGTCGGCAAATTATTGCCGACCTGATTTTTCCTAATTCCAAGGGTTATATATATATATATATATATATATATATATATATATATATATATATATATATATATATATATATATATATATATATATATATATATATATATATATATATATATATATACACATATATATATATATATATATATATATATATATATATATATATATATATATATACAGAATAAGACAAGAACTGAATACGGCTTCAGTCGAACAAGATCTAGGTGTTCTTATTTCAGAAGACATAAAAGTCAAGCATCAAGTTGAAGCAGCAGTTGCAAGGGTAAACCGGGTACTTGGTCAGCTTAAGAAATCCTTCAGAAGCTGAGGTCTCACACTTTAGAAAGTCCTTTACAAATCGTGTGTTAAACCACACTTTGAATACGCCATTCAATCATGGTTGCCACATTTGAAGGGAGACAAGGCTCTTGAAAGCATTCAAAAACATGCAACAAAGCTGATCACAGACATCAAACATAAATCATATGAAGAAAGACTTACGATTCTAGGACTAACCAAACTAGAAGATAGACAAGTTAGAAATGATTTAATTCAGCAATATAAGATTGCGCATGATATTGAGAAAATTGAATTTGTTATACCTCAAGTCTACGCGCAAACGCTTTCCCAGTATAATCTTCATAGCAATAGCTTAAGACTTACTAAGCCGATAGTCAAGAACTGTGTCGAAAGAGAAAAGTTCTTCACAAACCACGTAGTTAACACATCGAATGCTTTACCATCGAACATTGTTAACGCCTTTTCAACCAATGCATTCAAAAGTCGATTTGACGCATTAACAGTATAAGTATAGATACATCGTGTGTATCTACACTTACACTGTTATACTATACTTATACTGATATTTGTCAGCATGGAGGTGCCTGGTGCTGCACCTCTTCATCAATATATTATAAACATTTTATTCCTCATGGACTAAAATTGTTATAAATATTGTTGATTTCTGAATAAATTAAATTAAATATCAAAGCACTGTGGCATTTAGTTTTTGATATATATCAAAGCACTTTAAGAATTAAAAAAAAAATTGCTGAAATAAAATTGCATGATTTTAAAAGCTCAGTTAATAAATCAATATTAAAAACTACAAGTTACATAGTAACAACAAGTTACCTAACAACAACAAGTTATATAAGCTGACTACAAGCAATAAAGTTAAATTTATCATTATTTTTTAATTATATATTATGTAAAATTTATAGCTATATATAATAGTTTTTAGTTATATAACTGGTTTATATAACTTATAAATGTGATATAACAGAATTTGTTTTTTCATAACTACCAAAAGATAAAAAAAATTTAACTCCTAAACTTATTCACAAACTAAACTCCCTTATGTTTAATCCCACACTTACCATAAAAAAGGCCGACAAAGGAGGAGGTATTTGTATTTTAGACAAAACTGACTATGAAGAGAAGATCTCTCTACTTTTATCAGATAAAAATACATATAAACTACTCTCAGAAGATCCATCAAAAAGTATAGCGAGAGATGTTATATAGGTTTTATAAGTTATATAAGTTTTTTAAAAAAGAGTATTTTTTGTGTATGTTGTTTTT